GCTAAGCACTCAAGAAGCTAGAGTCGCTCGAGGCTATCGCCTCGAGCAACTCTTACGCTTCTTTCGTGCTTAGCAACCTCCCGCGCGCATCCATAACTCAATAGTGCACGCTATGGTATTTACCATTTGTTAAAAAGAGCTTTTTAAATAACAAAAAACCTGTTCCCAGTCTCCTTAATTGTCACCAAATAAAGAGTACTAGATTTAAGTTGCACATCTTGGCTGTCATTTAATGAAGAGTTGTGAAAATTGACAATCCAAATTCATTTACTGCTATAATTGCATTAAAAGAGGAACACAAAAAAGTATCTCTGACAATAGTTTCACTTTAAATGTGCCACTATCTTGAAAAAAAAAGTTACATACAATACTTACAGTTCATGAAATTATATATCCAATTTTTTCAATTAATATATGCCTCATCCAAAAAGTCATGCACAAAGTCAAAGAGCCTTCTTGGAAGCATTAGGAATTCCACTATTTGGCCTGCCTGATTTGGGGCTGGTAGAAGGGCTGTTAAAACAATTTGGAGCAATTAATTCAGACAATAAAATAACTATTGATAAATTATGATTAATCAATCAATCACCATTATCAATGAAATCATTCTCTCTTAAGAGATAATTTTAACTGACTGTCAACAGTAATCCTATAGAATGCATTGACTTTACTTTACATCTATCTGTGATTGTTCTAGTCAAGTCATAACACACTCTCTTAACCTTTTTAAACCCCAACATCAGTATGCATAATCTCTATACTGTTCTTCATACATTTTCCTAATGCACTGAAAAGGAGAATTTGTTTAACAATCAAGAGCTTCTTTAGTTGATGATCATTTCCTTAATCTTGTGACCTAAATGTGTGATTCAAACACTCTTAGGTTAAAGGGTTAACCAATACTAATGATCCAAAATTAAACCAAAGACAACTTGGTCACTAGCATTCTCCTGCTCTTTGGGCTGTTTGTTTGTTTGTTTGTTTCTCCACCGAGTTCTCATTCACTCTTTTTGATACTTTCTTTCTTTATCACTGGCTCACAATCACTTTGTTTAGTACTTAAGAATCTTTTACCTGATTAGAGTGATAAATAACTAATTTCTCTCAACAGTATCACCCCTGAATCAAACATTAAGCCTAGGTAAGGTTATGAGAATTAAAGAAATGATCAGATCTAGAAGCTCTTGATTGTTAAGCAAATTCTTCTTGTAAGCACCATAGGGAACGCATAGAGAATAGTATCAAGAACTTGTAAATTGGTGTAAGGATGTCAAGGATCAACATTCAGTAGACACACGCTCAATTCATAACCATAAAGTCAACCTAATACCTGCTCAATTCCTGATCAGTTTCTTCCATGATAGCTGATTTCTCAGGTAAAGTTGCTGTTAAAAACAATAAATAGTAGGTTTGAAGTTATAGTTCATTGCCAGAGTGACCAAAAAGGTTACAGCTTGAGCATTGTGATATCAAAAGAGTTTATGGATACCAACATTCTATTTACTACCAAAAGACCATTTCCAAATCAGCTTTAACCTCATTATCAAAGCAATTAGCCTTGCTGATCTTCCTTTCACTTAGAAATAAGAACTCATTCATATAGAAATTGAACTCCTTGAAACCTTTAATTCCCAGAAGTGATTAACATGTAACTTCTCCCTACAATATCGGTACATTATCCAGCAAACAGGTGATGAGAATACTCAGACTTAGCAGGTAGGAATTGTTACTTTGACTTAACAAGAAATACTCATAACTAATTTACAAGAAAATGTGTAGCAGCTAGACGGGAGAATTTAATTTAACAATCAGATACTGGGAGTTAAAGGTTAAAATTGAAAATTTACACCCACCATCCTTTTCATAGAAAGCAGGGGTTTCATGTTTACAGCAGGAGAGCAACTGGTTTTCACTGGTGGGAAAAACTTTTTGAACTGAACTTCTTTATAAGATAAACTTTCCTCCAGGTGGTGAAACCAGGTGGGCAAAACCATCGTTGCAAGCGGTCAATTTGCCTGTTGCCTGATTCTTAATGAAACCCCTGAGAAAGGCTGATGGCATTGAAAAAATAACATGCAGTGCCACTAACCAATATTGTTATTGACTCCAGGATGTTTTGCAAGGCCAATGAGAAATCCATAGAAAGTAACTCTTTCAACAGATGATAACAGTTCTTTAATAACCTCTACAGGTGGACAGCTGAAAGAGAGATTTTAAAAATACAGTAAATTCCAAAATAGTGCATCTTCCTTCACAAGAGGAAAAAGTTATTAAATAACAGAGGAGCCTCAAGGCCCTGACTTGGATTTCAGGGAAAGTTAATCCAGTATAAAGAAATCAGTTTGCAATAGCTGTACAAGGTTTTAAGGTGGCTGAACACAGTTTTTGATACCTGTGTTTCATTCACCTTCTTCTCTAAAACCCTTGATGTCTTGGTTGCCAAAAATGGCAGCAAGCAAGTAAACAACACAAATTTTGGTTTTTTAATAGTGAAGCTGACATATGTGTCATTGCCATGGAAACATGAAGCAATATAAACAGGCCTTTAAAATCGGTTTTGTTTATTTGCAGAAAATCTAGTCATTTGACTTTCTTTATAATTTGCATGCAATGAGCTTGTAACAATACTCCCAAGTTATCACCGTTTTGCTAATAATTTAACAGAGAGATCTTTAATTATCCCTTGTTGAAGGTTCACTGGAATATCTAGAATTTCCTTAGTTAAAGTCAATTTTCTTTCAATACTCCAGTTACTTATTTCCTAAAGTATTTTCATGCCAAATTTCGTGAAATTCTAATGAGTGGTTCTCAAGAAATAGGCGTATTTGCAATTTTCCATTAATCGCAATTTTTTTACTAACTAAGCATATGCTGCACTTAGCTGGGTTCTTTCGGTAACAATGAAAAAAGCTGAGAATTGCTGGGTTCTTTACACCGTTACCTTTTCTAGCATATTTTTGTAATAAAAGATTAAAGCCATCAATACATTGCGTCAACTATAGAGAAAAATATCACAGATAGTGCGGGTACACTCTATTGACGGCTTGTTTGTTTTTTGCAATCTTTGTGCACATGCTGAATTGCATCAGCAAAAGCACATGCGAAAACTGTGTTCAGCCACCTTATGTGACAAATGTCATACATCCTACCAGGATCAGAAATATCAAACACATTTGGTACAGATATAGTATGGACAAAGAAAGATGATAAAAGTTGGAAGCTTGCTCGTCAAACAAAAGGTTTGGAACATTCGTCACCCATGCCCAAGAAAGAAAAAAAGAATTTACTAGATAGGTTTTACTATGCCTGAAGGAGCCATTGCTGGAATGAATAATTTGAAGGATAGCCTCCAGGAAAGAATGAACCTCCACACCATCCCCTGAACTGACTTGAACCGCATCAGGTGCAGTGTGTGCTGGCTGCTGCTGCATCTTGTGCTGAATGGGCCTGGACAGTGTTGGCACTATCACTATCTGGCCTGGTCTATAAGTACCTGATATCAGGGCTTGATACGTGCTCTGAAGTTTCTCTATGAATTCTGTAAAATGACTCTTTATCAGAAAAGGATTTTATGCAAGTCAACATCACTTTTACCTCCAAGCCTCGCTTTAGAAGTATGGACTGGTAAAATTGAAAAGGAAGATTAATTTCCTCCCAAAAAAAACTAAGATTAAAAGAATATCAAGATAATAAAAGAAGGTGGAAAAGATTGGGCGAAAATGCCCGTAGACATATTACATCAACATGCATATGACTTAGTGTTGCTTATTGTGGAACCGAAGGGATAAGGAGGTTTAAGTGTATGATGACCTCCAATGAATCACATTAAATGTTGGAACTAAACATGTGCCAGGAATTCTTTAATTCACCATTAGGAAATCTTGAACCCCCCTACTCCCTACTCTCTCTCTCCATTTGTGTAAGGCCCATTGCAAGTCCAGTATAACAAAGGGTGAAAAGCAAGTTGATGTCTTCACTATAGGGGATTTGCCAGAAAAAAAAAAAAAGGGCAAACACAAATGCAAGCCCAAAAACTTTTAAAAGATGTATTACTCAAGTTTTTGGTGACTCTATAATGCCACCAGGACACCACCATGAAGACAAAGGTAAGCTGAGACAGGAAAATTAATACAAAAGACTGAAGCTGAACAATAAAATTAAGCAAATTAACCCAGTATGCAAATTCAGTTTTGATTTATGTTTGTGTGGAATAGCATCCCCTGAGACAATCAAATTAATTTGCTCTTAGTTTCTATTTGCAAACTTGTTAAAAGATATTCACCTCTTCAGACTAAAAAAGGAAAGATTTCTACCAGCTAACTTACCCTCATAAAAGAACTGTGTTTGGAAAGCATACAGAAAATCTGGAAATGACATCAGACAGTCCATAGCATCTTCCATTAAAATAATCC